CAATTCGGTCTCCAAATTAGATTTGACTGTATAGGAACCAAGCCAAATCCCACGATTTGAAGAAAGTCGCAAAGCTAATCAACTGTAATCATTTGAATTATATCTATTTGGGCATACGCGTTACTTGATTTGGTGTCACCGAGTGGCCACATGTCATGTTGAAATAATTAATTCCACCAAGCTTTTATCTTTGTTATATTTATCTTTAAGACTAATAATTCTTTCGTTATGCTTTGTGAAAAAGAAATATAGGAAAAAGGGACGAGTTGACTTAAACATTTCCATTATATTAGTTACTCTGCATAATATTAATGGGCATAATAATGAATTATAAAATGCTGCATGTATGGCGGACAAATGTCAGAGCATCTTGTGAGAAATATGAAGGAATTTTTTGATAAGCAAATGCAAATTGCATATTTTGCATGTTTCTCTGTTTTAGAAGTGCGTATGACCCGCATTTAGAGACGCGAGCTAGAAATTAAGATTAAATATTTTATTTTTTATTTATGTTTAGTATCTAAAAAATAAAAATTATCTCAACTTATAGTAAATCTACACACTTAAGTTCAAATAATAATATTAATATCATAAATAAAACATGATAACAAAACAGTGGAATTAGTAGTAAAAAAACTAAAAAATTGCAACCGTGCCCGTCTAAGTGCAGTCGAACCGTCTGACCGATTCTTTCTATGACCGATTCATATAAATTGGAGACGACCGGCCAGCGCCTAGGCCGATTTTTAATACACTTGGCACTATTGCATTTCTACTATCCATAAATAGAACATATATAATTTGGTCCTTTGATTTATTTCCATATATTTGAAAAAAAAAATAAGATTTATGTGCAATCTGTCCTTCTATTTTTATTTTTGGTATATTTTGTTTCAATATATATTTTGTCATATTTTATGTCATTATATTTTGTTTCAATATATATTTTGTCATGTTTTATGACATTATATATTTTCTTATTTTTTTCTACAAATGTTTATGACATTATATATTTTATATATATATATATATATTTTAAATTTCAGTAATAATTTTTTGTATACTACATATATTCTATATAACTGATAAATTTCTAAGAGCCACGTTGATAAATAAAATCTATATATATTGGAATATGAGTCGTCCCACATTGATTTGATAGGGTAAATGCTAATTTATAAGGCTAGTGAGCGACTCCTCCCATCACCAATTGGTTTTGGGATGAAACATCACTATGGTGCACCTAGGCTCACCCTCTTATAGTACGCTGGGACAGCACCCTTAATTTCCCGATTATCAAAATTTGACAATATATAACTATCAAATAATAATAGAAGGGATTGTATAATCACATAGTTATGGCAGGCTAATTACTGATAAAAAAAAAATATATCACATTGTATAATGAAAGAACATTTTCTCTTCTTGATTATCTTATATATTACTATCAGTTACTATTAAATAAGGTAACTATGAAAAATATGAAGTGAATTTCTTTACGGGGGTAACCCATCCCATGTGAGGAGCTTATCTTGTTACTCTTGAATACTCATTGCTAATTGTTNAAAAAAATCGTGCCATACAGTAGGGGCTGCACACGGTTTTGCATAATATATTTTGGGACAGACTACAATCCCGTTACGGAATCATTAACAGAACTGTAGTCTTTTCCTATATTTTGTCCCCATCAATTTTGTCACTCTACTTTTTTTACAAATTTTCCAACATTGCATAAACAAATTGATTTAATTTTATTTGGATATTTAAAAACAGAAAAATTTAGGGCTTGATTGCTTACCAAATAATTCATTCAAAATGGGTTATTTTGGTTAATTAGAATTAATTTTAAAAATGTGTTGTGGTTAGTTGTTAGTGGGATTTTAAGAATGTATTAAAATAATATTTTAAAATAAAATGATTAAAATTGATTTGATGTAAAAGTGGGAGATAAATGATTGGAAATGATAGGTAGTTAAAATTATGTGAGTAGATGAATAGTGAATTAAAATTGATGTGATATGTAAGAATGATTAGTTTGTATTATTTAATTATATGAATAATATTAAAGATAGTAGAATTGAGTTAAAATTGAGTTAAATTTTGAGTATGAAATAAATGTGAGTAAAATAATTTGTAAACAATCAAGCCCTTATTATTACATAACTCAAATCAGTTTAAATACCAGAAGCAGCAGGAGGCGTAAAGTGACATGCTTGCTTGCCCATTAAGTGACAAATAAGTATGGTATGGATATATTATATGCTACTCAATTTTACCTTGTTTCAAATAAAGGCATGCAAATTAAAATATTTTATTTTGCTTCAATCGGAATTGCATTTGACTAGTTCAGTAATCATCGGCGGATTAGGGGCTGAGATTGCTCCTATCTAGGAACGTAGCTAGAAAATTTTGTCAACCGGGCGGTTAAATATACTAATGTATTCGAATTGATTGTCATATTACATGATTTGGTTTAAATATTTATGTATGTGGAAATGATATATGTAAAAATTGTGTAGTAAATTATAATCCTGTATAGTATCGATAAGGACAAGGATGTTTGTAAATGGAAAAGAAGGATACGGGTACAATTTGTAAGATTTCATTTTGGTACGCCTGTTTACTTATTTTTCGAAAACGGTCTTCTGTTTGCTCGTTATTATAGTCCACTAAATTAAGGGGTTCGTCATATTTAGCCCACTTTACAAGTGATAGCATTGTTGATATGTCAAGACTCAAGAGTTTGTACTGTTAAAAACGTATTGCTTTTCTGTTTTTTATTTTTTATACATATATATTTGATATATTTGGTAGTATATTTTTGTTATTTGATTTCCTTCTCTTATTAGGTCTCTTAATAGGAATGAAGAAATAAAAAGGGAAAAGAGACCAAAACAAATAAAATGCGGGGCATATTCACAAGCAAAGGAGAAGTAGCATATTTTATTTGGAACTTGGAAGATAATGCGGGGCTTATATTCAAGCAACAAGATTATTTTGATCAAGCACTTGGAAGCATATTCAGACAATTCGGCTTTGATTTTTATTATTTCCTTTGGCATGATTTATTTGATGATCTTAACGTGATATAGTTCATATAATTATCAAACTCACTTTTTGTGTTTTTCATATTGACTAGACGTGTTGAGATATTTTAGATTTGTTTGAAAAACATTGTGTTTAATTTGTTCTAGTGAATATTTTGACATGTTGTTTTATTCTACAAGTGTTTTCACTTTGTAGCCTAAATTTTTAATCGTGTTATTTATTTCCGTTGCGTAATTTAATTTCTGATTTTCGTGTGAAATCTGGAATATTCAGTACCTAAAATTCTAACATGTACAACAAAACAAACCGTTCGCGAACTTAGTTTGACTCGACTCGTTTGATATACAAGATGAGTTTGAGCTTATTAAAAGCTCCTTTGATTAATGAGGCTCGATTGTTAAAAGTCGAAAATAGGGGTTTTACTTAAATTCTTTGAAATTTTAGCTTAACTCGACTTGTTAATATTGATAAACCTCGATTCAACTCGTGCCGAATTTCGAGTATTAGGGTGTTTTTGTTTACAAAATTATTCAATCTGTACTCAAAATCTAACCCAACTTTAACTCGGCCCCACTATCCTCAATATTATCAATATAATTAAATAATATCAATCAATTATTTTTACACATCTTGTCAACTTTAATTTACCATTCATCTACTCACATAATTCTAACTAACTATCACTTCACATCATATCTCTCATACTTTTATATCAAATCAACTTCAATAATTTTTATTTAAATATTATTTTATTATAAATTCAAAATCTTACTAACAACTAATCATACCAATTTTTTTTCTAAATTAATTCTAAATTAAAAAAAAATTCATTTTGAGCGGATTTATTGTAAACAAGGTCGCTCTTAGAATCTTAACTCGTTAGTATACAACTCTAGGCACGATATCAAATTTTCCAAGTCATTTTTCCTATATTTTGGCCCGTTGGAGTTTTTCTATATTGCTTGTGACGGATGCTCTTAGTTTCTAAAGTTGCATTATTTATCGAATATGTGTATTTGAGTATTTGTTCAAAAAAGTAAATTCATCTAAAATTTTTGTGTTTGCATTTACTGTTACCTGGGCAAATCCAGATACTGTTTTGCTCCAACCTGCTCTTAAGAAAAAAGGCAAAAGGTCAGCATATATGAGAAGGAAGTAGGGATAATAACTGCACAATAAAATGAGATCTATAAAAAGGTTCCTTATAAATAAACCATAAAACCAAAGAGTACAGATCAGATACAAGCCTACAAGTCACAACAAACATGCGCGAAAACAGTCGGTAAACACCGACACAAAAAAGAGAGAAAAGTAGACGCGAGTAAAGCATATAACAAGCTTATAAAAAACTCGACAAAGTTACAACAAGCACATGTAACTAAAAAACAAAAAAGGAAAAAACACTCGTAATTGCCTCCTCCTCTTTTGCACGCGAACCCTTCATCCCTCAAAGTCGTACTACAAACTGTTCGTTCCTTTTGTCATATCTCACATGGCATAAATAACCTCACCACTGCTGTCGAGATCGAGGTCATCAGGGTCCGAGTCGAAATCCTCCATGTCCATGTCATCATCCATCATGTCCATGTTAGAGACGCCAGCTGGCGGTATGGTGGCCTCCGAGATTATCTGCATGATAACCTCAAGGCTCTGCATCGGCTGCTCTGGCTCCTCAAACTGCCTGTTCGTAAAGCTCGAGCTCTCCTCCATTAGGTCTGCTGGGAGGTTCTTAAGGAACCACACGTGGTTACGAATTTCGTTCATTGTGATGCGCTTTTGACAATCATAATTCAAAACGAGTTAATAATGACTGAATTAAGAAACAGAAAGTAGAAGCTCGATGAAAACAGAAAATATGACTAACTTGTGCAGGGTCTGCTACAAAGATCCTAGAAATAAGATGCCAGCATTCTTCTGACACGTTAATATTGTCTGGAATCGAGTACTGAACGCTTAAGATTCTGTGTATTGTCTTCCGGAAGTCCTTTGGTTCAGCAGGATCTTCGAATGGATAAGCACCAACAAGCATAACATACAGAGTCACGCCACAAGACCACACATCCGCAATCTGAAGGAAATAAATAAATAAAAAATTACACGTGAAAAATTAACTCAAAATGAACCCACATTCATTTTCGAATGACATCTTGCAAATAAATCTGTGCAAGTCTGTTGAAAAAAGGTTGTTGACTGATTTACCTTGCCATCATATTCTTTCTTAAGTAACACCTCAGGAGCAATATAAGCTGGAGTTCCCACTGTAGACTTTGGTTGTGAATGGAGCAAAGCAGACTGTTAAAAGCAGGAAAAAAAGGTCAAAGTGGGTGAGCATGTAAGGAAGCAAGTAACATAGATAAACTATAATTAGGTCCGGAGAATGTTTTTTCAGATGAAAAGAGCTAACGATTTTGTATTACCTTGGAATACCCGAAATCACATATTTTCAAACGAGGAGCTGGGCTCCCATCCAATAATGTGTTCTCCAGCTTCAAGTCCCGATGGCATATTTGCTTCATCAAGAATTACGAGGAAAGAACGATTATATTTATATTTTTCAAACAATTCTGAGACCTACTGCACTATACAAACAGAATTCAAACAACATAATGATACCATTGAATGGCAGTAGCTGACTCCAGATATAAGCTGTTGAAAAAAGAAACGAGCCTGTAGCCAAAATATGCAGAAGAGATATGTAACATGTAGGGCCAACAAAAAATCTCCCAAAAAAACAAAAAAAAAAAAGAAAAGGAAAAAAAGCATGGAAGATAAAGTTAAGGACCTCATCCTCGCTAAAACGCCCTGCATTGCATATCCGCTCGAATAATTCTCCACCAGATGCATACTCCATTACAATAGCCAGATGAGTTGGTGTCAGAATTACCTGAGGCAAAATTACTTGAGAAGATTACTGACACGAAAATTTTAAGCCAAGTAAAGTAAAATCTAGGGGAAACCAGGGGCAAACCTCTTTGAATTTAATTATATTAGGGTGCCTTAAAGACCTGTGGTTAATAATTTCCCTCTGCACATTTTCATCTATCTGCAAAAAAGAAATATGAGAGGTTATTGCTTGTAATTTTTTTAAACAACCGATTAAAGGACCCCCAAAAGGGGGGTTTTGATCAAACAAACAGAACAATAAAATACATGCCAAATCAGAAAGTAAGATTTTCCAATCCGAATACAACTTTACAACTGAAGGCTATCATCATAAAGCTGTGAGCCTGTGAGAGCATAACATGAACATAAAAATGCATGTATTTTGCATGTGCTGAAGTTTTATCACTTCGATAAACCCAAGATTTTTAATGCACTTGGTATCAATTGTAGAGAAGGATCTATCTTATTAAGAAGCTCAAGGGTGAAAAAGAGAATGATGGATTAGATATAGTGCCATTTTGTGCTGATTTGATGGAGGTAGATAAGGCAATTTTATTTGCCCAACTATGATTTATCCTCTTCTATTTTATTTGTTTAAGACAAACAAAAAATTCTGCAACTATTGTATATGACAACAAATCTTTGGAGATAAAAGATGAATATGCCCTTGATATTAATTATCCTGAATGGTTCCCAAACAGAAAATGATTCGATAGTATGCGCCTCCTTTGACTACTTTTATATTCCAAAGAATTTCAGAACACAACAATATATGTGCAACAATGAGGGGGGTAAGCGAGTCAAACTGTAAAGATTTCAAGATTGTTTGGAAAAGATCAATCTTCCATAATGGTGCTTGAGCTTGCTTCATCTTTTCCGTATATCATCGAGCTTTTACTGAATCAAACATGAATCTAGCCCAAGTAGTTTGATGTATTTACACATATTAGATATTATTTGATAAACATATGTTCAAGTTTGTTTGAAAACTTTGATGAACCTAGCTCAAACAATCATTTCACGAAAGAAAAAATTGAATATCGAGTGATTTGGTTTGGTTTTCAGCCATACGAATAATACTACAGAGAAATCTAGTAACAGAGTAAATGAAAAAAGCTATCCTCTTATTAAAGAGACTTCTAGACCAAAACAATTGGATTTATCCTTTGGTTTAATTTTCAGCCATAGAAATAATACTGTACAAAAACTCTTGCATCGGAGTTATGAAAAAGGCAAAACCTCCAATTAAAAAGACTGCTAGAGCAAGGAAATGAGAGTGAGAGGAGAAATTCACATCACATAGAATCTTCAACAACTATAAAAAACCAATAGTCGCCTCAGCAAGTAAAACCGGACAGACGATAAATATAGTCATGCTTGTTGGCAGTGGAGAGAAAAGACATACAATATATGCATATGCTATCATTGCTATGTATGTAAGTCACAACTCACTATCTCAAAAAAGAGATCTTTGAAAAGGATTTTTGAAGTCACAGAATCCATACAGGTAGAAGTATGTGTTTCTTGAAGAGCCGACTGTTAAAGAGCAGCTTAATTCAAACCGCCAAACAAAGCATAAACAAAATTTGGTTCCAGAAACTTGTACTAACCAAATTCAAGCAACTTTAACATATTAAATTATTGATTGCCTAAAGATAATTAATTAACATATAGCTTTTAGAAGTTGCATAAAAAAATGTTAGTTGCTTAAAGTATGCACGTTTCACAGCATTATTCCCCTCGCAAAAAGGGGAAAAAAAGCTAACTTCCATCAAGACCAATCTCACACCAGAACGAATCAACAAATTTCCCAAAAATAAACTTACCATATTTGCGCAAGCAAAAATAATTGCATGCTTTACTAAACCAGCTTCAATACCAANAAATAACCGAACAAAACCACGATAAACGAATGAATCAGCTTCAATACTAACTTAAAAAAAGGTAAATAACCGAACAAAACCACGATAAACGGATGAAAAACAATCAGCAGATACACGGGCAGAAAAAAAGATGCAACCTTGGCAAGTAATCGTCCAAACTAACCTTTTCCCCTCGCTCAATATACTTAACCGCAACAAGCTCCCTCGTTTGCTTGTCTCTCATCAGTCGAGCTACTCCGAAGTTACCCGACCCGATATCCCGCACGAAGTCGTACCGATCGCTGTCGTGCATGATCGGCATATCCGTACCCTGACCCGCTGACGCAGGCGCCCGATCCATCTCAGCTTATAATATTAAGAAATGAACTTTGGATAAGAAAAAAAAAAATTCCGGCCTCGAGAAATCAAACCCAGTTCGCTCACATTACTCAGCTATCTAACAAACATCGTACTTAAGTTCCGGCGGTTATTCAACAGTTGACTTGATAAGGGACGGCGGAGATCGGTGAGGGATGAGATGGTTTTGCCCTTTGGGGCAGCCGCGTATTTAAGGGGGTAGAAGGGCGGTGGTTTGTGTACTTTTGATTATTTTATTTGGGGAGAGAGAGAGAGAGAGATGGGTGGGATTAGTGTCTCTTTTCGCAGTAAGTACTGTGTTAATTAGCAGGGGATGATGGAGAAGAAAGACGAGACGGCATCGTTTTGAGGGTTGAGTAAGATGACGTCCACCCTACCACGATGCGCCTCCCAGTTATCTCGTATCTGATTGGACAATAGGTTTTGCAGTGGCTGTTTGTTTTATGTGCTGTATTGACAAAAGTACCCCCGTTAGGATAGACTTGGGCGTACCGAACGATGAGACGCCAAAGGAAAATAAAAATAAAAAGAAAAAACCAATAGCATTTTTTGATAGAAAAATAATTTTTATTTGAAAATTTAAGCATTTTAGAAAATATATTTGTTGGAAAGATAACCAAAAATTTTATCAAGAACAGCCTTTTCCTCATGTGACAAGCAACACAGGCAGCTTTATCAAAGTTATCTTCGGCTGAAATTCAGTGATGTGCATATTTCCCGTAAGAATAAATCTTGTAGAAGCTGTTTTTAGTTGGGAAAAGAAAAAAAATAAGCAAAAACAAATACTCCTTCCATTTTGAAATATAAGGCATGTTAGTGCACAAATATTAAAGATACATTAATTAATGAATAAATTTACTAAATTAATCTTATTTACTCTAATCACAATCACTCCACACTTTCTTAATTTCAACACAATGAGGGTATATTTAGAATAAAATGCAAAAATTTGTCTTGATTTTTTAGCGCGCCTTATATTTCAAAAAAATTGAGAAATCTTTATACGCCTTATATTTCAAAATGGAGGGAGTATATATATAAAAAATCACATATATAATCTCATGGACTCATAAATTTAGGTGATCTGGCCCAACAAATAAGACCATCCAAAATGTATTGGATCCAATTTTACTTCGTTCATATATATAATTCTCGAATGCGTTGAACTTAAGTGGCAGACTCGTGTACTCCGTAAGCTTAAAGCATTTACAATGCTTTGAGTTCAATTAAGAAAATTTATATGTCACCTAGATAATAGACATAGTCTAAAAAAATATATTCTCCATTGCAAGTGCAAATAAATTGGGTCCTGCTGATGTGGCAGCAAGAAAAATAGATTCGGTCTACACTTAAGTCTATTTTAGACTCAAGTAGAGACCTAGTCTCTTGCATTTGACTGAATTTTGTTAATTTTATATTGTTTTATCCATGTCATTCAAGACTTGAGTTTATTTGCATGCCACATAGGCAAAACTAGACTCAAAGCATTGAAAATGCTCTTATTTGGCATAAATTGGTGTTTCGTATTGACACATCTTCTGGTCTGGTTTTTACTACTACGTGTGGGAATTATCATAAACTATTTTAGCTTTCTTTTTTTCTTAAGGTACCATATACTACTCTTATATTTTTTTATTTAATTTATATACTAATTATTATAAATATATATTCTTTTATTGTTAAAACTTTATAAATTTTATACATGATCTACCGATATAATCATATTTTAACAACCTTTGATTTAACATCCATATTGCATAAATAAAATAAAAAATAGTTTCATCTATATTTATAAATAAAATCAATTTTATTATCAACTAAACTAATAAAAAATTAATTCATTAATACACCATAGAATAATTATTTTATTATTTTTTTCCATAAATTTTGGAAAATTACATAAAATAAATTTTAATAAATGTTATAAAATATTATTTCTCAATTTAAATAGATAAAAAAATTGAATGTTATTTATGTTATTTAAAATAGTAAATATAAAAGAATATCATAACTAAATATAATAAATAATTTTGTATTTCTTAAAGTTAGCAAATAATACATTTCTACGTAAATTCTAAATTAATTAATTATATGAATTTAAAATACTTGAAACTTTAATAAACATGAGACATTGACTCTATAAATATAAATATAATCAAAATACAATAAAATTTGTTTTGTTTTAAAGAAAAAACGAATCAAATATATGAAGTTGTAAATAATATCAATTTTATACATATATAATTTTAAAAATATAATTAGTGTAAAAAATAGGAACACCATTTGAATTAATTATCATTTTGTTAGTTATTTATTATTGCTGCATATTCATCATACTCATAATTTCACAATAAAAAACTAAATTATTTTAATTTTTATTGTACAAATATTAATATATTTAAGTACTCGTGTAGTACACGGGTATTGTACTAGTATGTATTATATAAAGGGATTTAAGTCTTGAATGACATGGACAAACTCAAGTAAAAAAAAAAACCAAAATGATATCTAGTGCAAAAACAAAATAATAGGTTTAGAATACATGTCAACCAATAAAAATGTTCTAATATGTTTTATCTATTAAAAAATTAAATTAAAAATAAATGCTGATTGTTCTGGTTTGTACTTGAGTACAAAATAGACTCAAGTGTGGAAATGGTATCATTTTTTAATTGCCACATAATTTAGACCATGTGTACTTTTAATTACATTAGGAAACATTTTCTTACAAAGTAAGTCTATTTCTTACATGGCATATGATATTTTTTTAAGGGACTCAAAGCATTGTGGTTGCTCAATATGATAAATGATAATCGATTGGTTTTATATTAAGACGATTTAACCATTAGGTAGGCATATTTTATCTCTTATATTAAGAGTGTCAAACCATTATGTAGACATTTTTTTTTTACAAATGTGTATATTTTCATTAAAAATTTCATAATTTAAAAAACAAAATAAACAAAAGTATGTATTTGATAGTACAAATATACATTTTTTAAAATAATATGACGAGTCGACCCTCCTAAGTCCTAATTGTTAAGTTGTCTCACACAAGAATTTGTGTAAGATTATAAGTTTAAGTAGGAATATCTACGCTCAAACTTTATGCATATTATTAATAACTAGTAATCACCTGTGCGATGCACGAGAAAATTATTATTAATACGCTTTATAGAAGGCACTTATGTATATAAATTTTGTAATAATGCAATGATCATGATCATAAGAAATATAAACATATAATTAAATTGAAAAGATCATATATTATTGAACTTTTCCCTATATACAACATTATTGGTTTGATTATTTGACATGTCATCTTTGCCACAAATTAAGATTTCAAACATTTTTGGTTAGTGACATGTGAGACAGCAACATATAACTGGCCATGACCGAACACTGGTTTCTTAAGAAATAAGCAAACATGAGATACGGATTGTCCCTGACTCTTGTTTATAGTCATGGTGCAAAAAACCATAATGGAAAACTGTCGCTGCTGCAACTTGAAAGGAATTCTAACATCACAAGGAGTTATGGTCATTCTTGGAATCAACACCTTATCACCAACATGATCTTCTATGAGTATCTTACACTCAAGAACATGAGTGGATAGCTTTGTCACAACCAATCGTGTCCCATTACACAAACCCATAGAATGATCCATGTTCCGCAACAACATGACTGGAGTTCCAATTTTCAAATACAACTCATGGTTCGGTATTCTGGAACACTTGATACTATTTAAAAACTTAGGCGTATGGAGATCAAACATAAAATCATTATTAGAATCCGATTTGCATGTACTGTCAGAGCTCAAGTACATACGACCATCCAACAAATTCAATGATGTCATGTACTCCTTGATAGATTCGGCCACATCCAACGTCGGCGCTAAAATTCAAATTACAAATCAACTCCGAATTTTTCAAAGAATTAAAAAAAGTTATCAATTGTAGTAAAATCTAAAATTTTAGGCAAGAACTTTTTTTCAACTTAAAGTAAATCCCTATTGTTATTTTATATTAGTAGATTGAATTTCCAAAAGAACTAAGTCAAAGGTTTTGACTCAAAGTTTTTATCAAGTTTCTATAAATGATTTTTTAATGAACCTCTTTCCATATATATAGTTATTTTTAATAAGTATCGTTTTGAAAAGTTGCATAGTAATTAATTTTTTTTTTGTCAATAATAACCCTCAGATAGAGATGGATCTTTTGAGAAAAGATGAAGAATGAATATGAAAATATGTAGTGTATTTATTAGCTAGATGGGGGTAATAATGAAAAAATATGTATAAAAGATCCAAAACGTCATTTATTTGGTTAATTGTTAATAAAGTCAAAATAACATTATAAAAAAAAGGAGGTAGTATCTATTAATATATAAAAAAACAAAAGATTTATTATATGTAATAATTTAAAATTTACCAAGAATGTTTAAATTACTTATAACGAAACTTGTTTTATATGGCTTGATATTACATTTACATTGATATATTTTGATCTCCTACAATCATGCAACCTAAGTAACTAATAAATTAGATATCCTTAGTTATATATATTTCACATGTGACCTTTCAATTCGGAAAGAATCAATTGACATTATCCTCATCCACAATTCAACATCATCCTCCTGGGTTTTTTGCTAAGAAATTGATTCGAATATTGCTTTTAAAATCTCATTTTTTTATTCAAATTGCACGTGCTTTGTAACAAATTTTTCTAGATTAGAAAGTCAAACAAATTAATTAATAAGTCAAACATTCTATTTAAGTATTTTCCCACCAACTTTTTTATATATATTAAAAAGAATCATTATTTACTCCTCAAAATGAAGCCTATTTTCCTACCAATAAACCAATTTTTTTATCAAACAAATTGATCCGAATATTTTTTAAAACCAAATAAAAACCATAAATTTTTCCTAAAAATGAAACCAAAATTTCCTAATACTGCACTGATTTTTTTATATTGATGGATGATGTCATGCTAACTATAAATAAGTGTAGTAGAAACACTCCTGATCTTGCCTAATATATCAATTGGGTGTAAGTTTTATATTGATGGATTGATAGAAATGATTGAATTTTTGTTATGAATTTATTTGTCCTCCATTTAAATAATCCCTGGATTTCATTGTGTTATATAGAAACATATATGAAATAGGCATGAAGTATTGTCTTCCTTATATATAGTTATATACATGGAGACGTTTCAAGCTTCACTGTAGTGCTCCTATTATTGAAGAAGACTTTTCAGTTACTATGCGCTATATGCGTTCAATAATATATGATATGATTTAC